AGCTTCATTGCTGGAATGCTAGATGGCGTTAAAGTAGTCAAATAGCCAGATGCAGAGGTATTATTGGCTAAACAATTTCTTTATTTTATTTAAAATAATATTTTTGTTAAATAAAAAGTAGCCTATAACCATTCTGGGGACCACTAGGAATATGTGTACAAATTTTCATGATGATCGGTTAAGTAGTTTTTGCGTGAAAGTGTAACAAACATCAGGACTTTCGCATTTATAATATTAGTAGGGGTAAAGTCTAAAAATTAATTATTTTTTAAATAAAATGGGTGCGCGTTATTTTATTTTTTCAACGTTGTTACTATTACTATTATATTGTGCTACGACAGTCACATCGGTCAATATCAGTGATACTATTAAATATAGTGACATTCTAAACAATTTGAGTAACTTTCCTCAAAGATTCCCGGTTGGATATGAAGCTGCTAATATTTCACCACGTTGCAATCAGTCATTGGCACATTATAAAAATGGCTTGGATAATCAAGATGAATGGGCCGTGAAGAGTAAGTAAATTTTTATTTTTTTTTAATATTAATATTATTATTAGATTATTTATCAATTTATTGTCTACAGTGTTGGATGCCATGTCTAAACTGCAATCCGGTATTATGTCTGGAAACCTGTATAATTTAGGAGCTTACGATGAATGTCAATCGATACGCGACATTGTGATCAACTCACAAAATTCCGGAACGCAACAGGAACAGAAAAAAGATTCTATTACGCTTAACATCGTTCGGCGTTACCACTTCGGGCAGCGCGAGCGACGAGTACTATTAATAAGTTTTCCAATATTAGTTCATAATTTAGGGATTTCGCTATGGATTTTAAAATTAGTTGCGATATTGCTGCAAGCAGGAAATGGACTTATATTTAGCTACACCGTATGTCATCTTTATGTCAAATTACTTATGAAATTCATATTTATGATCATGAAACATGTGGTTAAGAAAACACTTTAAGTCACGAAATTTTTAATTTATTTTTTTAAACATTTTTTCGTGCTTTTTAATCCACACTTATTTTTCTTTTTCTTTTTCCATGTTACACGTGCAACTACCATGAAAATGTGCTCGTTTATTTCGGTAGGGTTTTTCTGGCAATGACGATTCATGTTTTTATGTATGACTGCATGAAAAAGGGCGCAAAATCAACGTGTCTCGAATCAATCGTTGCTTCGTTCCACTCAAACACTCACAACACTTGAAATCCGCTGATAACATGCTCACTCGTAAGCCGAGATCTTGCTGAATTAATTTTTGAAATTCTTTTCAAGTAGCACCAAATTAAATATTACCTAACAATTTTATATTAAAAACCCAAGGTAAAAAGAGGAATGCGAGTAATGACATACGCATCGCTCCGATCTTGCTCCGGCTGGATGAAAATGATGAAAGGCAAAAATAAATCTGTCTATATCCTTCTCATCTCCAATCTCGCACTCTAGCTCTAGTCTTCCAGCTGGAGAAGTATTATGAAGGTGGGCGCTTTGAAGGGGCGTCGAGGGTGGCGCGGGCGCATTGCAAACGAACGAAATTAAAAAGCTTCCTGCCGTTTCCTGCCCGTTTTCCGGTCGCTGGATGTCGATCTTCCTGAAGTACTCGCAAGAAGAATCCATAGAAAAATTGCGCAAACAGAAAGGAAATTCGATAATTATTATTTTTTTGCATTAGCAGCGCGTTTGCATCATGATCATTGTATAAGCGTAAATATTTTGTGCAAGTTGAACGTTTTTGTCTCGAAGCACTCAAAATTATTAGCTTCTAATCGCGTTAACTGCGGCAACGCTGCTGAGGTCGCTCGCGCGACGCCATCTTGATAAGATTAAATTCGCACAAAACACACCGAATGCACGGGGCGTTCGCCGAGCATTACATTAGCAGAAGAAAGGGTCGAAGCGTGCGACTGCGAATTAATCGTCGATTTATCGTTATTACTTCGTTAGTTAGTTTCCACTTGTATGTGGTATTAGAAGATTCGATTTTCATCAAACGAATAAACCAGTTATCATTTGTTAAAATACTACTAGATTTTCATAATGTGAGATGCGCGAGACAAAATGAAATTTACGAGCTACCCTCGTAGCTCTAGCCGCAACCAAGTGTACTGTGTACCAGCAGCGCCAGCTATTGTCCACGCCCGTACTTCGATTCGTGACCAGGCGCGCGCACCCACGCTTATGTTTTGGTAATATTAAGCCGTTATAAGTGCTCGTAAATTTTCATTATTACTGCCTGCGGCGAGGGCCGGACACAAAAATAGAAATATGAACGCAATTAAAAATTCATATACGTGCGTTTGTGCTCCAGTTGCGCGCGCGTGCATCGCGTCATGAGTTTGATAGGCAAATTTTGCAAATTCCACAGCGCGGATTGTCCACGCCGCTTGACGATGGCATTCATAATTTGTGATGCATAATTATTGGCTGTTGCCCGACGGTAATTAATTATGAACGCACGTTGGGCCACTTATTACTTTTTGTCGCATAATTAATTTGATTCGCGTCACATTCAATAATTGCGTTTATAATTACCTACGCCCAAAAAATATCTACCAAAAGTACAAATCATTTGAAAACTGAAATTTGCGTGGAAAAACTTTTAATTTATGCTCGATGGTTTTATTAAAATCATTGTCGAGTTTTCGCCAGCAACTTTGAGTTATTCATTATTCGAAGCACGAATCTCGTAGATGTCACAGCACACAAATGTTAAAAAAATATTCACCGATGGATAATTATGCCTCGATAGGTACAGTGTGTTGCCGGGAATAATTTTTCAAAATGACGTAGTGTATATAAAAAGCTTTATGACTCAACTAGCTTTAACCCGCGTCTTCGCTCGCGAATATCTAATATAATGAAGTTGCTTCCGTACGCGTCTGTAGTCACAGAAGAAGTAACAATGAAGTAGAATGGCGGGAAGTTTAAAATGGCTGAAAGTATAGTCTATGGAAGTATAGTGTACAGTCTCCATAGTGTAGTCAATTGGATTTGATGTTGACGTAGCTGTCGGTAATACAGTGTGATAATACAGTGTGATGGTACTATAGTACTTAGGTTTGAGCTTCATTGCTGGAATGCTAGATGGCGTTAAAGTAGTCAAATAGCCAGATGCAGAGGTATTATTGGCTAAACACTTTCTTTATTTTATTTCAAAAATAATTTTTTTTATTAAATATAAAGTAGCCTATAACCATTCCGGGACCACTAAGAGTATGTGTACAAATTTTCATGATGATCGGTTAAGTAGTTTTTGCGTGAAAGTGTAACAAACATCAGGACTTTCGCATTTATAATATTAGTAGAGATTTCATTTTGTTAATATTGGACGCCGATATAGCTGCCGGCAGATAAAAAATCATCCAACGAGTGAAACAGGTCAGAGAAATGTGTTCAGCCGCTGAATATTAATACCGCGCAGGTTAAGTGGAATTAAAAAATATTTTTGTCCGCGTAGAGTTGAGTTGGGTTAGTTGGGGTATGCTAGAGCGATTTTTTTTGTGTTCATTCGTGGCCAACTTTTGTGTTCGTCTGGCACTCATCGAGCTCTCGGCGGGCGCGATTAAAAATTTCCCGAGTTTTTCTTTCACTGCACCGAGTGCAAGCTCATAAAACATGAATAACGTTCGCGTCTCTCGCGTAATGCACGCGCCACGAATTATAAAGTACTCGGCGAGAATTGAAATAAATTAAAATTGCACATTTACAATGGATAAAAAGGATGTGCGGCAAAAACACAACTTGTCTTCTTCTTTTACAACCCACCCACGCTCTGATTAATACGATCATGAAATAATCTCAAAATTAAAGCAAGGTTTTTTTTGCTGGAGCTTGAAATATTGAAATTCTTACGGGTTTACGACAGTGCTGCGACCACCCTTTACGCGCACACGTAATGCCAACACGACTGCTCCCTGGATGGCTGTACGAAAATTAAAATCTCTACGTTGTGCAGAAAAAAATAACGCGCAAGCAAGGCAGGCGACTCTGGCATATCCTTAATTACACTTTTCCCAAAGTTGAAGTTAAAGTTAAACTTTTCTTGTCGTCCTCGCCGCCGACGTAATAACAGCACAATCTGTAGAAAAATATCTGCGAGGAAGAAAAAATACATTTGTGGTTTTTTGGCGAACGATAGAAAGTCGATACAAGTCGCCAAAAAAAAGCGGTAACCGGATGAAAATTACAAAAGTCTACGGGTAATTGCCTTCTACCTATAGAGCACGCCCCCACATCATGCAATACGCGCTCTGGATTTTCGCATTATTTTTTTCCAATGTGCGCAAAACTTGAGATTCGAGCAACGTACGCGCCTAAACGATGAAACAGTTTTGGAATTTTTGCGTGCATGTCGTACAAGCTTCCACAGCACGCAGAAAAACTTTGGGGTAGGGGTGGGAAACGTGTTAAAGTCTTCATGCGTGAGATCGCGTAATATGCTTACCACGGCGTGATGAAGACTGCGTTGACGTTGAAAATTTTTGTTTGAGTCATTTTCGAATTGTCGCCTGATAAAAAAATATATTTCTGAATGCGTTGTAAATACTAAGAAAGGAAAGTTTCTGATTAGAAAATTATTTCAACCATACGACAATTCTAATGCATCTACTTTCACATTCTCTTTGGACTCGGACCGATTTCAGCACCGCTCCGAGGCTGGAGTGAACGTCTTGGAGTCAGCGGTTGGGGCAAAGTTATTCACTTCCCCTAATACATATTGTAGTGGAAGGAATTGGCAAGAAAGGGTTTCGGCCCGCTCGGGGCGTCACAAGCGGCACTTCAATCTCGGTCGCTTGCGCACGCCTTCAAAGCTCCTTCACTCGACGCCCTTATAATTAAATCAATTAGAGACGACTATTATACCCGCCCTTGGATTTTGCGCATGCAATTACGCGCTTACAATTTCAGCAATATTTTTGTTGGCAATTCTCACTTCGACTAATTAAACATTTTAAATTTAAATTGCATTTTTCATTATTTGCAGGTTTGGCATCCGCATTGAAAAACGTCGCCGTTGTGGTTCCTCAAGCAGCAAGTATTGGTGACACAGTTACGCTCCAGTGTCGTTATGACCTTGAGAGTGAACCATTGTATACTCTGAAGTGGTACAAGGGTGCGCATGAATTCTACAGATACATCCCGAAGGAACTGCCAAGCACGCAGATTTTTCCTTATCAGAATTTAGACGTTGACGTAAGTAAAAATTCATTTACCTCGCTGACTGCATTAAGACTAATTTGATATGTTGCTTCAGTTGGCTAAATCCAATCAAAATGCGGTGGTCCTGCGCAACCTGCAGCCGGAACACTCGGGTCGATACAAGTGTGAGGTTTCTACTGACGCCCCAAACTTCTACACACACATCCAGTCTGGTTACATGCACGTCCTGAGTGAGTACTAGTTAAATTTAATTTTTACCAAAAAGCGAAATATGTTGGTGAGTTGTGAGGTATGGAAAAAAATTATTAAGAGAAGTCTGTTTGACGTTATGCGCCGGTGGTGTAAGGAGGCAGCACCTCGTTTTCATTTTACGATGAAAATTTTTGAATTATTTTGTACGAGTGCTGTGGGGCGCCCAGGAGGGTTGCGAAAGTTGCGGTGACAAATGCGTAGCACCTGGCGACTCGTTAAGAGCCCTCTCCGGCTTCCCGGCGGCGGCCCAGGGACGCGAACGTACCAAGATCTATGTGATTTAATCAGGACCGCGTCGGTGCCTTCTTGCTCCTTTCCTCATCTCATCTCAACGCGCGAATGCAAAAAGGAATTTTCTTCAAAACCCACTTCTTAGTGAAGTCGCCAAAGACGCCCGAAGAAAAAAGGATGGAGAAAGGCACAAAAATAGAAGCTCGCCAGAAAAAAAGGGAAGTTTATAACGAATAATAAAAAAAATCTTGCTTTGATCAATGTCCCCGGTGGACCCAGCGAGCCCAATGCAGCAGCTCCGATTCGATGCTCCCCAAGCGACCTGGGTTTGGGTTTGAATTCAGGATCGGTTGGAATCGACTGAAATTGCGGATTGCAGAGGGTTATTAACTCGACTCGGCCCACCGGGTGCCCGGAAAGCATTCAGTATTCGCTGATTTCATTAAGGCACTCTAAACGGCTTGGGTTTTTCGGCTGATCGATTGCGCAGTGATTTATAACTTTTAATAAACGGCGTTTCCAATGCTCGGGAACCTTTGGGGTATTAGAGAGCACCAGCATCAACTAGACTCAATTATAAGTCAAAGCCAGCAAAAAACATTAACTGCATTATCAGCTTCAAATTGACAACACACTGTATTACTACTAGTTATATCAGTAATCACGAATCCAATTTAAAAATGATAATGAGAATTTAATTTGATTTGCTCCGAAACGCGTCCGACAAACGCGAAATATTTGTCAAATTTAATGTAATTTTGTTGTCAAATTGAATTCTATTGAAATGCGCATCTGTTTGAAAACTAATTTAATTTATAGAAATGTTTTATTGAATTTCCTCGCTTGTTTCAATTTGCAAATGAACTGTGTGTGCTCAATTATTCGACTAATCAAACTAAAAGGGAATAACTAATCCACCATATATTTCATCCAGCCACCTGTAATAAACAGGACAAAAAACTGTGGCATTTAGTGCGGAAAAAACTTTGAAGACGTTAAAGTTCCGCACACTAGAGTATTAGGAGGAGCACTTGAAAGTAGTATCCAAGTATCTTGGCAATCTCTCCGCGCTTGCTCGAGGCTAGGTCGCACACTCCGCTATTAGTCCCTACAAGTGTTTCTCGTTTCTGCGTTTGCACGCCCCATGTGTCCCACTCGCACATCTTCATTCTCCTCGTGGGTTCTTACTTTGTACGCTGTAAGTGAACAAATTGTTGGAACATCCCGCGGATGAACTCGGATACTCACCGAAATACAGCCGCACGGCAACAATCAAACGAATGTCGGCTGCCGACGTGGTTCAGGACTTGAGGAATTAAGTGGCAAGCTTGAAGATACTTGTATGTCCCAACGTGATCATACTGTTTGTTTGGAAATTATCTATTATTAACTATCTGTATATTCTTCTTTTTTGTGTTTGTTATTTTTTTATTTGTGACATGTGATAGTAGAGGAAAAATAGGAAGAGTCAAGTAATTTAAGAATCAGCTCATTCCTTCCATGCTCCGATGCGCAGTAGGTTGGTGTGCGAATGTCTGCTCGAGACGAGATAACCTCTCAACATGAGAGGCAAGGAAGCCGCCTGTGTCTAGTCCCAGAGCGTTGGAGATTCCACGTCTCCATCAAGGCGAAATACCTAAAACTCCTAAAATACCACGCATTATCTTCACTTCTCTCGAAATGTAGTCGTCCTTCCTAAAATTTGCTATTTACCCCGATAGTGAAAGACCAAAATACACAAAGTAGGCGAATCGTGTGTTTGCTTAACTAGCACATTCGGGTTTACTCGGCCAGCACTCCTGATACGCTTTTGGTTGCACTTTCAGTTCGCACACTGTTTGCTCTCTGCTGACACGATGTACTGCACCGTTGGAACTTGCAATGATGCAAGAAAGTAACGGAAATAGTGGTGCAGGAAGCAACCGGAGAGCAACTACTAATGAACCCTTAATACATAACGATCAACCACAATTTGTGTACGACACCATTGGAGCAAAATTTTTGCATGCGAAGAGAATCCATTAGATTCTAGATTGCAGGCGAACGATTGAGATAAAGCACATGCAAGTGGTCTGGGTCGTTTGGTCCGTACCGGTAACATGCTTCCATGTGCTTTATGCGCGTTAACTTTGAAGAGGTCGCAATCATTTTCGCTGTGCTGTGAAATTGAAAGAGAAGCCGTCCGCTGCAACATTGCAGCCGTACTTTGGATATCGTTTGATGCTTGACCAAGCTTTTGATCATCTATTGCACGTATCGAGTTTACTGCGTTTGTCGGTTTGCTGTAAGTTTGCAAACCGCGTTCTGTTTGTAAATCAAATGAGAGTATTCAGCACTTTTTGACTAAATCAAAGATTAAAAGTGATTATGTGATTACATGATGAGATTAACTTCAGCATGTTTATTTAGCATACACATTACAATGATAATGGTGTGGTTGTGACATCTGGAAGTGTCATTTGCATAAATCTTATTTCCGCTTGGTGCTTTTGTTTGCATGCTTTCTTGCGTGAGTTTGGACCCTTTACCAACCTGCATGATTTATTTACTTATGGACCCTTTGGTTGCCCCGGTAGTGGACTCTTAAGATTGAATATCACTATTTATAAATTATCATAAATTCATAGTCAACACGTACTTATTCTGCATAGCAGAGTCATGAATATCGAGTGATCTTTTCGCATTTTATTTTTACGTAAAGTTTTCCCATTTTCTCATGAACTACGTCCTTTGTTCGTTCATTATTTTCTGTTTGTGTAAAAATTCAGCAGCGCCACCTCATTCTTCATTCCTGCACAGAGGGCGAAATTTATTAGACAACACAATGAAGCATGAATATATTCAGCGCTGCGTCCGGACCCGATGAATTATGAAAATTTATAATACCAGGGGCACATCTTTTCCTTTATTTCAAGTAAATTTATAAATCATCTCTTTCCGTGTGGCTTGCTGAAGCCGACGGTGGTGGTGTTATTACCTTCGAGAAGTCGGGACGTGGTGCAAAAAAAGTAACACAAAAAATCACTTAGCCATGACGTAAATGCTCTAAAATAAAGTCACTAATCCTGGTTATCCTTCTTGGCGGGCAGGGAGCGCGCATCCAGAGAGTATCCATCAACAAGGCGCGCTTGATTAGCTCTCTTTTTCTTCGCGTTTTTGTCATCTCACAACCATCACTTTAGTTTCATATATATTGAAAGAAATAAATTGGTTTACGGTTTTTTAATATACAGTATGTTTAGAGTGTTGCTGGTGTGCAAGCCAACTGTATGTTATGTACACATGTTGTAAAGTGCCATCCGCAACACCGCCGACGTTATGAGCTGCACAAAAAGCGCTAAAAATCGACCGGGGCAGTTGGGTGCAGCAATGTAGAAACTCTAAGTTGTAGTGGCGGCGCGCGACATGAAATACGACGCCGAAAGGAAATTAACTCGTTTGGGTGCGAGGCGCGCGGGCTTTAACAAAAAAAAGAGAACCCAAGGCGTTGCCGTCCTGGTCCACTGGTAACTCGTTCGCCTGCGTTGAAGAAGAATAACGGGGAAAATCTTTTCTTATCCGCACGACGACGATTTTTATCTCCGCGAACATTTATAAGGATTTCGACTTTTTTCCGCCGCGTTTCGAAAGCTTTTATTTCGCTCACTTAAAAATATATAGGTATCGCTCTCTGTGCAAACACGACACGACATTTATTATTCCCTCTGATAAAATGTATTAAAATTAAATGCTGTTTACTTTTTATTTGGTTGATCGATAAAGCAATTAAAGCGCAGCGTGCTTGTTAGCCGTTTAGCTGGTTTAGCATATTTAATTAGAAGTTGTACTTCATTGCTGGAATGCTAGATGGCGTTAAAGTAGTCAAATAGCCAGATGCAGAGGTATTATTGGCTAAACAATTTCTTTATTTTATTTAAAAATAATTTTTTTTATTAAATAAAAAGTAGCCTTTAACCATTCGGGGACCACTAAGAATATGTGTACAAATTTTCATGATGATCAGTTAAGTAGTTTTTGCGTGAAAGTGTAACAAACATCAGGACTTTCGCATTTATCATATTAGTAGGAATTAGTTTTTTTTAAATATAAACGAATTTATCTTGCACTAGATTGCGTTTATTATTCATTTCATCCCGGCTCTCCGACGATTACAACTATAATATAAATAAAATCCGGGTGGGTGCTTTCCCTAGTCCTAGGGCCAACGGAAGATTGGAGGAATTCTTAAACCCGATCGTAAAAGTTACCCTCTCCACCACGCCCTCAAATCTGCTGTGCTCCAGATTGACTGGTATCTCCTGCTATCACACGTATGATGGCATAAATGCATCAGACTAAGGCATCTTACCAAACTCCAACTCAAAGCTTACTATCGGGATGGAATCCGAGGTCGGTGAGCCTTGTCCTGATAGACCTGACGGCGATACGGATCCAGCCAACGGTTTTAACTACTTTCTACTCGATGGCACGTGGATTCCACAAACACAGACGGGTTGTACTAACATCTAAAATTTAAACGGCTTCGCTTTCGAACGCTAGAACCAACGCGCTTATTTACTTAATGGACGCACGGTTTTAAAGCGATTCGTTTTGCCTTCCTCCACGAATGAAAATTAGATGGAGATGTTTGGGATGTTGGGGGATGTAAACATAAATATGTTGGGAATTAATGGCATCTTGAGATACGCGCCGCCAACGTTGTTTTTACTCGAGTGGATTGATCCACAATCTAAAAATCAACAATCTTCTACCCCCGAAAAGCGTAAGCAAAGCTTCATTATCCAACTTTTTGGGTTTATAAAGCCTTTTTTGTGTAATTAATCAAGAAAAAGTTGACTGGCCGCCTTCCGAAAACCCGCCGAACACAACAAGCGACTTTGTTTTGCGCTCATTTCTTCCTCCCTCTTCCGTCTTCCGCCTTCCGGTCCTTTTTTATAGTCTCATGAAGGAAACGAGAGACTTCCGTGGGCGGCCTCGTGATTATTAACGTTGATTAACATTATACTGTTTACGTTCTTAATTATTAATGAACGCACTAAAAAATGATTAAGTAAGCGGGCCTCCAGGCATCATGCAAACAAGACCAAAGCGAGATAAAGGACGCTGAGTCCTTCAGCGGCCCTCCTTGGTGCGTTGTTTACATTTACCGTCTTTAGGAAATGCTGCAGATGCGAATAATTTTATCGACGCTTGATTTTGATAAAAATTAATTTAATCCCGAACAAAAGTCTTCTTTTTATTTCTAGGGGTTAACTTGAATATTATTGATAGGTTCTAATAAATTTAAGTATTTCTTTGACAAGTTGTGCAATGACAAAGTGTCGTCTCGAGTTTATGTGCGTTGTCATTCGGTTTTGTGCAAACTTTTCCTGACCTCGAATGAAGAGAATCGGAAAATTGAGAGATGAAAAAAGTCCAGTCGAGTTAAGTTTTACGCAGAAAAAGAAATCTAGACGACAAACTTTTACCGAATAGAATTTAATGTTGATGCAGATTCATGTCTAACTGAAACTAAATATTTGTATTAAATAAGTTTTAATTCATTTTCGAATTGTTATGCAAAAGCTCTCAGAATTTATTTCGAACATAAATTCGTGTTTGCTTCAATAATAAATTATTTACGCAAATTCCCGCATCCCACAACAATCTAACTTGTAACATGTACCACAACCCCCTCTAGAATAAAACGCTCAGCGATGTGCAATAAATCATTATTTAAATACACCTCGTCAGGCGTGTGCAGAAAATTCCGCCGGCTGCCGATCAACTTTGGCTATTTAGCAATGTAAATAAATTCAAGTGTGTGCATTACACGACGGCGTAGATTATGAAATTTTCGATAAATCGGCACCGAGCGTAATTCGATGTTTATACTGCGGGCTGGATCGTTAAATTTCTCTCGCATGTGAAATTGGAAATTCGCTCTCAACAGAAGCTGGCGCTCATTATATTCGCTATGCACGGCGCAAAATTCGCGCTGATGCACATTTAATAGGCGATTTTCAAACAATAAATTTGTTTTTGCAACCGGCGATTTCTCGACCGGTCGACTTTTTACTGCCGCCGATGGAAATGTTTGTTCAAAAATTCGGCAATTTTTTCAATTTTTGTGTTTTTTGATTCGTGGTTCGAAGATATACGTGACTTCATTATAATTGACACGTGTGTCGACCTCAAGACGTGGTTTATTTTATTTTATATTATATTTGTGTTTGCCATGAATTTTAAATATTTAATTTTCAAATGTATCAAAAACAAAATTCTAAGCACTGAACTCGAATTTCTGAAAGTGGAGCTTATCGATATTTTGGCATGAAAGTATTGACATTTTGTGTGTATAGAATTCACGACTCTCGATCAATTTTCACAATGTTTATTACCGTCATCCATCATCGATGAAAAACCAGTACGTAATTGAATAACGTAATCAATTTACGGCGATGCGATTGCGAATTCAAATTGGATTAAATACGTGTATAACTGTTCATTTCTTTTAGTAAAAAACGGAATTCAAAAAGGAGTCGGTAAATAGTGAAATTGATTCAAAAAATCTCAAATAGATTCGTTTTGGTTTGAATGGTTTTAATTTACGTATAAATCGGTATTTAACTATTTACACTGACGACCGATAAATGTTTAATATGCGCGTGTAAGTTGAAAATTTCCAAAAAATAACAATGCGTATAAATCTCGTTTATTTTGTTCTGAAATGTCTAGCGAGACACGACACGCATTCATACATGCAAATAAAAGTGTTCGTTGTTATGCTGCATACATAAAAGCAGAGCCGTACTTAAATATTATATAGCATAAAATTACCAACATATATTAGAAGTTAGTGTATTTTAAGAATAAAATAAAATTTTTGTTATTTTTCAAAAAATAATAAATGCGTCTCTGGATGCGTTCAACACACTTTTGTCCTGTAGTGTCGAATGAAAATATTTGCAAAACAAATTTTGCATATGAAAACAAAACGCATCACGTACGCTCATGACCATTTCCCACACGAATGGCAAGTGCTCACAACAAAAGCAATTCGGCGTTAACTACCGACAATATTAATATTTTTAGTTTTCATTTTCTGCCGGCAAACAAAATAAAACTAACAATTTTTAATAAAGAAAACAAAACCATCGAGTTTGCCCATTGTTATTTTTAGATTTAAATTTTCAAAGCGAATTTTCACACTACGGATATAAATTTTTTCTTCTCGGCGCTCATTCATCACAGTATCGTGCGGTGGCGTGGTGGCGATATAGAGAGGAAGCCATATTCACACCATTTTGCATGTGAAGGATCTCCTTCGCTTGTTTTTCAAGCGGCTGTGCGTGGGTGTCGTTAGGATGTGATCGTCATCCTCGCTCGTCGCTGCGTAAATAAATCATTCACCTAACATTATCGTGTTGACATTATACATAATTATGCGACGTCGAGTATATTGTGTTGCGTCGGGCGTGCGCGCCGGGCGGCTTTATTATCAGCGCTTGTCAGGATCGCTCCCGGGAAGCTGTGGGAAGAAGAAGTGAGCCGGCAGACGGTGCCGGTCTAACAGCTTTTCTCTCGCGCCTCGACCGAGTGCGACCGTCTGCTGTCGTCGTCATAGACGTAGGAGTTTTCGTTCTGTTCGCTACACGTTATCAGACCACATGGCTACATACGCTGCCGAGTTTCTACTTTATTCTCGCGAGCGCCACGACCCCGCGTCACTCGCGTGTGACAACAACATCCAGCTATTTATCATGGGCCGTTGCTAAGCCGAAACAGGACGCCATTAACAAAAAGTAGGAGGGTCGGATCCCACATCCAAAAGGAGCTTATATCATCATGCATAGAATTCTACACCCACGCAAATTTTGAATTTAAATCTCAATAAAAAAAAATGTTTCTATTTCAGGTCAACCACAGTTTTCTAACACAACTACCTGGAACAAACACCTCGGCTTATACAGACCCGCGCAAGAAACCTACAATGACGGTTATTGGGCTGGAGCACGAGATTGACAATTCTTTGTTTTTGGGCGGAAAAGCCAACATTCGATGTACTGCGGATCTCTTCAATGTTTACAAAGCTCAAGGAGATTACATCTTTGAACAGGAACGACCCAAGCCACGACCGTCATCGGTATTGCAGAATAATAATGAATCATCTTCAGGTAAAGTATTTGTAAAGTTTTGTTGTAAACATAACACATATGTAATATTTACTGGTTTAATTCGAATTAAGATTCTCGGGAAATGTCATATAACAACTCCGGCGAGCGAGTATTTAATATCACGAGCACGTGGCTTTGCTTTAATATTATTATGGAAACTTGGGGCAACAAGCTCACATTCCACCCGTCCGCCAGAGATTCTTTATAACTTGTGCACGAGGCACGTCCTCGCATGCACGCCACACCATGTTCGAATTCGCCAAAGGATGCGGCATAATGCAGTTCGTGAGAGATGCGCTTAATACGAAATATGCGCGCTGAACGAACTGCGATGCATATAAAGTTTTAACTTTTACAAGCAATCTCAGGACGAAAATATCCGTTTCTTGAATTCTACTTCAATACCCACATTTAATTAAAATCTAGTTTAACTCACAAAACTCCACGGTTTTAATAGACATGTTTCCTTTTTACAATTGCCGCAGTTGGAATTTTCATTAAACCTTCAGTATATTATCACATTATATTCTAAAGCACTAGCAACACACATATCGAGCGTAGAAAAAAACGCAACGAAATTGGGATGATTTCCCGAAGGAGGTAAACCAATACCTTTGTATCCCTGCCACCGGTGGTTCCCACCAGTTGTTCACTTTTCTTGCCGTTTCCGTTGTCACTGAAAGCCTGTTTCTTCGTCTCCTTATTCCCTGCGCAAGGAAAAACTGTTTGCACACTTTGGTGGGCGTGACGTTGGAAAAAAGACGACCGTGGAAACAAGCCATCTCACCGAGCTCAACTGCAGAGCCTACAGAAAGACGAGAATCAGTCAGAGAATGGCAAGAACACTGAGTGTAAAAAAATAGAATTGGGAAAGGCTCGAAGAGTCACCCACGGCGGCGCCGATGACGACTTTTCACGGCGAATAAAAGCAAATATAATGGACGCCCCGGCGCGGCGACCGCTCGTAAAAATAATAAAAAAATTGAATTCTCGCGCCAACTAGGTGCTAGACGCCTGGATCTGGGTTAGCTAACGTTGGGGAAATACGTGAATTCGATGTTTTTCTCTCGATACAATGTCCGCTATTGTTAAACATTGCTTATAAAAGATTTTGCCATTTGGTGCGATTCAATTTTCTCTTGTTGCACTTTAATTTTTTTCTATTTGACCCAATGGAATCATTGGAAAATGTTTAGTATTTTTACCGGAAGTAAAGAAAATTAAATTTCAGCTGCAAGTTGGTAATGACCAGAACATAACAAATGTGGTTTATTGCTTATTCTCATATTTTCTTATCTATTCATCTTTCGTTTCCCAGTCAGGACCTCGCTATCTGAATGACTTGGCGTTGTGTAACGACCCAGCCGTCCTTATCCACAACATGCATCTATCTATCTAATTCAATTTCCTAGCGCGATATCAATACTTCGTTACGGAAGCTGTGTATACGTCCGACAAGTTCTCGAAACGTTGCGATGTCACCAAGGAGGCGTTTTGGCTCGTGACCTGCGCGAAGATGCGATCTGAAAAGAGGCGGCTGGGGGCTCGCTACGATGATGACGCCACGATGTCATCATCCCACCAGTGCCACCGATGATGGCACAACGAGTTGAACGACTTTGTTACGACACCTAATTTTCGCGCACGCCGAGTAAACATAATAGAATAAAGAAAATAAACACGAAATAGCATTGCACAAATTGCAGAATGTATTTATATATCAAAGATCCAATCAGAATATTAGATATTCTAGTCTTGCTGTAAACCGCGTAAAAATGTGTGTTTGACGCAGTTATTTGTGTTTGCGACTTTTAAATATAAAGATAAAGCAGAAAAGTTGAATAAGTTAGGGAAATCTTTGTCGGATTTGAGCCCTGGTCCTGCTGCATGTGACTTCCCCACGTTGGGAAACGAGCCTCGAAAACTGAAAGCGTTCCCGCGAGATAATGATTATAAACTGCGGCGCTTTATGGCCTCCTTAACACCACACCAGTTCCACGCTGACTGCGGACAAAGACCTGGGGTGGAGCTGAGGACAGAACACGCCGAAAGTATATGTCCGATTGCATTATGTATCTCCGCCTTTATTACATTTTTCCTCTGTTTCCCCGCTCGCATTTATTCTGAACCCTCGGAAATTCTGACATTCCACAAATGCAGTTTTTTTGAAATTATGATAGAAATAAACACTAATAGGTTATGACATTGCAATTTAAACACTAACGCCATCTACAGTTGTATAGTTTTAAAAAAATGTAAATATTTTCCGTATTGTTGCAGTGTTTGGTAGCCGGCCAGCCTGCGGCGGCATGTTTTTACTCTTCAATGTACTCCTCGTCTGCGTAATCACGCGGTAACAATGCAACGGCGCGTGGACGAAGAACCGTCGAGATGGCAGCAATCTGCGCGCGCTGTCCGACGAAGATTAAGCATATTTTTGTTGCCAAAATAATGAAAACCCGAAGGATGCGAGATTAAAACAAGACAGCCAAGCAAATAGAAATCCCTACTCTGCATTACAATCAATTCTTCGTACTACTTCTTTCACTTTGTACATAAAATAGAAAAGAAACCAACCGGAGCGAAGAAGAAAACGCAGAAAATACGAGCAAATCCTTAAAAATATTGTGTGTTACAGATTACTAAATTAATTAATTAACCGAAGAACAATGAATTGTAATAGAAAATAATTAAAATTGTGACTTGTGAAATGGACTGCAGATGAAGTTTACGATAATGAGAGAAAACGGACAGTGTTGAAATGTTGAAAAATGTTTAAGCGAATGAATGAAATGAGCTTCAGGCGCATGGGCGCAAAGTTTCTACTGATATTAATTGTATTAAAACACTAAAGACATGGAAATGAACATGGAAATGACATAATATAATAGTTACGATAAATTTAAGTGATGAATGATGGCGCTGTCGGCATGTCAGGAGCGAGATTAATAAAAAAGAAATGTAAATAGCTATTCATTATATAAATTCATTATAATGATTAAAAACACGAGATATATAAAAATAAAGAAATACGAAAAACGAAAACATAATTGTAGTGCATTTTATTGACGTAACCATTAAAACTTGTATTCTTAAACATAACATCTACGGTGCAGTGAATAAATAATACATTTGGAAGTGACAGTGACGTAAATAGGGTAAATTGTGATATTGACATCAATGGACATACCGTTTTTATTTAATAAACGCTAAAAGTAAATTTTCCTAACCTGCACGATGATCAACACACGCGAATGGAATGAAAATAAAACTGGGATGCCGGAGGATGAGGTCGTGAAGTGGAGCAGCGAAATAAAATGCGACATGAGCACGTCCACAGTTTGCGGTTATATAACCACGTAACGAGATGAGTATAGAAAAATATTTGTGCGTCGTATAACTCTGAGTAGTGAAATAATAATACAAGGAGGCGACACGCTTTCATCACCCAAAGAAAAGTTTCCATATTGATATTGGCGTTTATTTTCTTGTATCACATTCAATCGAGCGTATTAAACGTCGCTGTTGATATATAATTTTCATTTGTGTTTATCGAGTAAACATAATTAGTTTATTACACAAAATGAATGGTATTGATAATGGTATTTTTGTAACAAAGAAATTTTGCTGGCAAAGATCTCCATGAATAAGATACAGGTGTAAAAACAATCAATAATGTTGTTTACTTTATGATGAAATGTAGTGAAAACCAAAAAAAACTAGAAAAGTGTAATTTTTTGTTGAAAAGGATATAAATCAAAGATTGTACGTACGAAATTTCGTCAAAGGACTGTGACTGCAGTAAGATGAGTACATTATAATAAATATTAATATAATATATATATGAAATATGATAAACCGTATTTGTTACCCGATACAGACGTAAATAAATGAGAAGAAACCAAAACAGATACACACACAAGCAGAAAATGTAAACCGTAAATCCAAAAGCTGTATAAAAATATAACTTTATTGTTAAAATAAATTGTTTTTCGTATCTGGTTGTTATATTTATTCACTATAATCACTTTTGATGGTATATTGGTAAGTTTTTATGTTTGATTCTTTCACTGGTTAGGAGACATGCTCCATCATCGATCTGTTTACTAGTTCGAGCTTCCCTCACTCGGTATCAAAAAGATGAAAGTAAAACGACGGACCAGTTGAAGTGGTGCTGAGTTGGCACTGGTTGTGCACACATTAATATCGGGAGTGTTAAAGTGTTAATGTCACAGTTAATGGATTATGCATTTCACCAGCCTCCAGCATCCGACATCCAAAAGGAGGCATGCAGGAGACGCCGGTATATTATGATCTTGTATGCTGTGTGGTTGCATCGTAAACAATGTTGCTGTTTCTCATCTACTCGATTCCACTTGGATTAAAACAATGTTTGCATATTGTTTCAATTTTTAATTTTTATTTCAAAAGATTTCTAATCGTTTCCTGCGTATTGCACAGCAGTGTCATCAATCTTCAATTGATTGTAATTGATCGAATGCATTGAGCCCGCACTAAGTGATTCGGCGATGATTTATTATGTCGCTTTATTATTACGTTCGTTTGTATTGCTTGTGGTGGAGCAGAAACCTTTTTAGTTTGTGCGTGTTTTTTGTGTGACAGTCGAGTAGATGATATGTAAAACTTAGTTAAATTCAGCTCTATTTTGCGTCATCGTAAATTATCCTCCTCGGTTGGTTGTAAAACGAGCAAAAATCTTTTTCGGTTTACCCTCTTTTTGGCTCGCCGCGGGCTCTCCGCGTGAAAATGAAATAAAAACAAGCGGAGATACTTTTGAGTTAAGAGCCTTCAAGTTTTCATGGTTTACTGCACGCTCGACGTTATACCAACGGTCGCCGTCTGGATGTCTGGTTGTCTTGGGGAGATGAGGCACAGTAGGTTTCGAGGGAGTAGAAATACGCGAGAGGCCTTAATGTACACAATGAGAAATTATCTAGGTACTCGCGCTAAGTGGCGAAATGGGATTCAGCAACACCCTATTTAGATTTATGCAGACTCTCGCTCGCCGCCACCGCCGCCGCTTGCAAATGAAAATGTATTGCCTTAAGGGAGGACGTCTTGTTTTTAACCGGGGCCGAACATCCAATCTTCTTTCTCTATCTCGCCGAACACCCACAACCAAAACAGTAACCTTCGTGTATTATATCTGTGCTGACCAAAATTCAACGTAAATAAGCAATTATTACCTCGTTTGTTTTGCCAAAGTCATTTTACGTTATAACTGAAAATGTCAACTTCACTACTATACCTGTATTGGCAGAATCCGGTACTTGATTATTTTTAGAAAGAACCTCGGATTCCCAGTTCGCATAAATATCGAAGCTAACTTTTTGACCTAGTTATGTGTTGCACCAGTGGCGATATGGACCTTACACTACCATTTCGGTTAGGCGAATATCTCGCGCTGGTCCTCTCACTAATGGAACAGAATTGGCGTGTGTGGAATATGGAAATTGGAATATCGACGTTTGTTCGATGCCCATTAGAAAGTTTCCAACGACGTGATGCGCTGCACCGAACACACACCACCCAATTTATACCCGAGCGAAAAAACACACAACTTTTTTTGTAAGCTTCTCCAAATTTCGCAAATTTTTTTGCCTGTACAAATTTAACTCAAATCATAAATTGACTCTTTTTGTGCCGCCAGTCTCGCACACATCACTTTTTATTATTCGAAGGGACTTTTTCATCCTCCGTCTATTTTTTCATCTCTCCATCATCAGGGTTTTAATTAATGAACATAAAAATTAGATGAAGTATGAATTTTCAACCGCTACACTTCTCTTCGACTCCGCGGCGCCATCTTTGTCTAATTTTGAAGCATTTTTTGCTCGCGCTTCAAATTAATACCGAGGATTTGCGGCATAATGATTAATAACCCGCTCCAGCAACTAATAATCATTTTTTACTCATTAAAATAAAATAATTCCGAAAATAAATTTATGGTTACTAAATTAGTAACCTGCGTACAGCCCACTAAACCCCAATGACACTTAATATTAATAATTGTAGCCCGTTTAAATGTTGCACCAATAATAATTATTACGACTCCAGGTCCTGGACCCTTCTACCCACTGGGCCGCAGGGCGAAATTAATTAGATTTCAGCTCGCACCGCACAACTCGCCAAGACAAGACTCGCTGGATCGGATAAACCTTTTGTCCTCGTCCACGTCCCGATCCTTTTCCACGTCCTTGATTTCCTTCGTGTGCGCACCACTTGTTGTTCCTGCGTTTCGCTTTATTATTCCAGCGCCAATCGAATTTACGTCGACTTAATTAAAACCCTCGTGATTTGTTACCATTGCGCATTCCCGACGTCGAGCCGAGTGTTTCGAGGCAGACGCGAGGACATTTCATACTGTAATGGATCTATTACATCAGATAAACTAAGAGAGGACAAAAATATCGCGGGGGCGTGCGAGATAGAAAGGAAAAATCTGAAAGTTATGGCAAACACTAATCCGTACAAGGACCCAGACTGACTTTTATTTCCATTTCTCGGGAAGATCACGCGCGCTAACTCTTAAGATGGGCGAATATATCTTTCAAGGCGCAAAGCGTTTAGATTCTTCTTAGGAAGTCTGAGGCAGCGCCGCCAGTGCTCGCTTAAATTTTCATGTGTTAACCATCATAACTCATGAAACTTTCAGCAAATGTACGGAAACATACTTATGAAATCTTTGTATTATCTCTTTATTTATAACGCCGAAAGTTTAAGAGCTTTAAAAACACTTTAGCAACTTTTTCCGTTTGCTTCCTCTCGCAAGATCTTTTTCCTCTTCGTTCCGCCTGGAAATTGTTGCACACGTCTTAGTTTTCCGCACTATCGGAACTCAGTGTGCACGGAGTCTGCAAGGAATGAGGTGGAATTTATTAAAATCTTTGCCTACTGTATTTTCTACGACTGTTTAACATTTCAAAAGTATAAACTAGTGGAGTATATTTCTGTTAGTGTCATTTTATTAAATCTCCGAAATGTTTCCTGAAAATTTACTTTTTTGATTTATTTAATTTTGTATTGATGGATGTGTTCGTTGGGAAATTCAGAAATGCATTTGAACTTTTGATGGATAGACCGTGACCGTTTCTCCGATTGCTAGAATTTTTTCAGTTCCTCTTTTGTCCATTCGTCAGTATACGCAGGGCGTTGGACAGCAGGACCATGACATTTCATTTACCGAAACAACAACAAAGAAATATCGCAGATATGAAAATGTCAATTCGAAAAAAACGCGACACAAATAGAACGGAACGAATCACATCGGATGAATGCAAAGAAAAGAAACAAAACGCGGGGGAGTTACCGAGGTTGAAGATTCCTGTTCTTGGATGTGGTAGTTGGATGTGGGTTTATACGTGGCGAGGAATCTTTCCACAAATGGATATGTGACAGCGACAAATAAGCGCACGGGCGATCGAGCGCAATTCTTCGACTAGCATCAACTGGATGCACACAATGGGGAGGCTGAACGGTTGCAGCATACCTCGACAGTATAACGGTTTTGTGTTTATGAAAAGTCATCCACTATCGTCTCCAGTCAATTTCTCTTTGCTTTATTTTATCGATTGTTTTATTCCTGTTTATTGTTTGAAAAAATTTCGCGATTTTTCTTGCTTCTCTGAAATTCTTTGATTATTAGTCGTAGATTGTAAATTAAACCAGATGCGTCATAGACAGAGTATTGTACGAATATTCGATGATTGGATTTTACCCAAGAACCAAGAAGGATGTGGTTGTGGTGGCATAGAGCAAACGGTACACCGCGTTTAACTACGGCCTTTGTTTCCTGCCGCGCTCCCCACCAGCACGACCATTGTATACGTACAATCAAGCATCGAACAGTTGTGTTTGCCGCCTTCGTCGCCACCGCCGCCGCCCTCGAGAGACCCGGGCACAACGCGACGCGCTGCAAATGGATGTTAAACAGTGAAATGTCGGTAATATAATTCAATTTCGCCTGTCAATATAAATGTCCCTCACGAACGGGGGCGGCCATCTCTCATCTGGCGTACCCAACGGCACCAGTCAAACGTGACGATGCCCAGGAACCGCTACAACTCCAAAATCTAATCATTCGAACAAAACCCAAATTGCGAATGTAATTAAAATCAAGATTACCGCCTGCAATCTTTTATTTGAAGATTGTTGTCTGCTGCACTTGATTCTTGATCAAAATTGGTGCGAGCGGCTTAAGTACAGGAATTTAACATAACACAGATTTGCTTTTCCTTTCACGACAAAGACGTCAAAGAAACCTGCCCGAAAAACCTGCTCTGTGTGAACCTTCGCCTACTTAGGAAACAACTTTCCACCTGTTAAACCCACGTAAACCAAAGGTGAACAAAACACATCAAAGGCAGCTTATTTTCCCTCAACAGTATTTTTTCTCTTTTGCATAATGAAAAATTCAAAACAGATTTAATATATATCTTAACACTCCAAGGCTGCCTTGAAGTGAGTCATCGGGCCCTGCGTTTGACGATTGACGCACGTAATTTGCGAACTGTTGCCCACGACTTTAATTTCGTCACGCAGCTGATTAAAGAACTCAAGCATTCTTCCAGCGCCCATTTCGATCAATTCAATGATTGGTTTCTGGCAACTGCGGAGATCCCGGAAGTTGAACTCGGTGCGGACACAATCGTGGACGTACATTCCATTGGTGTGCATGTCGCTTCCATAGTCTCCAATGTTGTAGACAATTTCGTGGATTTTCTCTGTGCTCGGAATGGCGGCAACGCAATTCTGAATACCTTGAACCGACTGGTAACGACGCAACAAATAATCGAAATTTACGTAGAGACAATCAGTTCTACAACGTGTATTATCGGAGCACTAGAATAAAAGCATTATAAAGGTTAAATATAAAAATTTAAAAAAACTAAAAAATTACATGTGCAAATGTTACACCAATAAAAAATAAAACAAAGAAAATCTTCATGATTAAAATGAGTTTTTTTGTAAGCAAAACAGCAATTTGTAAGTAATGTTAAATTTTACTAGCGCACGATTATATTTATACTAAACATAGCTCTATTATCATAAAACTATCTAACGGTTAAATATTTTAGCATAAATTAAGTTATTTTCAGAATATGATAAGATTTATGTGAATTTTTCAAAATGCATATTTATATTTAATTTTTCAACTCAAAAAATTACAATCAATTTATTTTGTTAATTCATTATCATTTAATTTAACGTGATGGAATACTCAGTGTTTGATCATACTCGTTCACTGTATAGAATTGTGAACAATATAATTGCAAACTATTTTTAATTCCCAAAAGAGTGGAAATTAAATCTCCAAATTTAAATTGCTTCAAAAATGCACGCGCATAGATATTGCGATATGAATATGCAAACGTTTTAAATATTAAATTTAAAATATTTTCTGTGCCGTGCGCAAACATTAACAAGCACATAACAAGCACTCGATAACGAATTGGAATTAAATTCCTACGGACAATAGAGTTTTACGTTGGTATTACGAATTAAAAATAGAGATTGTTTATTTTTGTTAAGGGGTTACATTCTGTTCTATTAATCTAATAATATTATAAAATTTTAAACATTCTGCACACATGAATTTTAATGTCATTTGTAGTTGTTTCAGATGTTAGAAAAACTAGTAAATTTATTAAAAAATTATTATCAGTACTTTTGACATAAAATAACGGCATATCCCCTTAATTAAAATCAATAACAAACATTTTCCAGGAATGTATTGATGAGTATTTCAAATATTACTGCAGTAAAAACATATGTTTGTTAGCAACTGTAATTAACACGGGTTTAATATCAATGATTCGGCATAAATCAATAGATTTCAATTTTCCACCCACTCGTATACTTTAAAAATGTAATTCAATTTGTTTGGCCAAATAAAAACTGTACACTTTTAATTAAAAATGTTTTATTTATATGCTTTGTAGTCAAATGATTATTTCCTACCGCCGGCGGTGCTATCTTTACACATCAGTCAAAATGGTCAGGACGAGACGCAGGGACGCAATGAGTTGCGATCCGTTTCGTTGCGTTCAGTTCCGTTCGGCGCGTTCATCCGGCTGCCGCATGACAAAGATCAGATTAGTTTGGTAAACCGGCGTCTGTGTAATTTTATTGAAGTGGATTACGATTTACACCGTATGTTTCAAATAAAACAAAGATTTCATAATAAAAATTATTTTTATTAAGTTTTAAGTTTATTTAAATTTAAATGTATTTTAATGCATTTTAAAGATAATTTAATATGAATTATGTAGCATTTCAGGAAGTATAACTTTTTGTGTATCCTGTTTATGGTCAACAATGCAACTGGCTCTCTCTGGCGGTCGAGATAAACTAAACAACCCGACGCCCAACGCAATAAAACACAGCAATAGAGGACCAACAGGCGAGCAAATACGCGGCGGGCCGGAAGAACCGAAGCGATCGTGGATCAACGAGGAGACAAGGACGAGATGGACGTTTGGGTCAAGCTGCACACAACGCTAAACAAACAAGAAAAAAAAAACCAGCGCCACAATGTAATCAATAAATTACTCGGCTTTTTAAATTTATTCATTAGAATATTTTAACGTTTACGATTTATAAAATATTTTAAATGTGAGAATTTTTATGAGATTTTTTTCCTAACCTCAACTTGTGACCCAAACCTGCCATGTTCGTATGTTCGCAGCTTGGTGCGGATATAGGGCACCATGATGGCATGCGGCGCTTTGGATTAAAACCACGCCAAGCCACATAGCGGCCGAAAAGTTATAGATAGCAAAGTTTCGCCTCCGGGTCGTGGGAGCGCTTTTATTATTCCTCAAAGCGATAAAAAATAAAGTTTTTATAGTGAAGTGGCTGTCCTTCGCGCGACGTGCCGTCATGACCATCATCAGAAGATGCTCGCGAACGTAAGTGGCTTGTAAGAGGATTAGACTAACTTTCATTAGAAAATCTACAGGTTTTTTAGTTTAATTCCACTAACAAACAAAACCCAAACATGTGTGATTTAGATGTTGTACATAACTATTTGGCAAATAGTTAACATGTTAACTAAAATTAACGAGAATGCAGGAATCTGCATTACTACACTTGTCTTCAACTCGCAATTCCTCGCTGAGAAAGGCGCGAAATGAACGCGCCTCGTCCGAATGTAATTTTCGTATGATTTATTGCGTTACTTATCTGCTTGATTAATTGAGCTCCGTGTATTATACGTCGCGCATTTATGAAATCCGTGGCAGCGGGCGGCGGCACAAAGACACGAAGGACGCACATCCGCATTTCGAGTGAATGCGCTGCAGATGGGAAACGAGTAGGGACGGATATCTTTTTGATGCCGCACAGCGCCACTGTTGCTTCTTTTCGAAAAATTTCGCATCTCTCATTCATTCGCGGCGCGTATTTGCTCTTCGCTCTTGTACAAGCGTGAAAAAAGCCGAAACGAAAAAGTTAATTAATTTTTGAAATTCATGTTATTTATGCTTGAACATTTTCCATACTCGTCAAAAACAACGGTTTTATTAAAAACCCACGACTCGGGCATAAACTGAATTATTACGTATAATAAAATATAAGTTAATAAAAAATGCTTCACTTTGAAAAGAGAAAATAATCGATAGTTTTAGACATAGCAATAAAAGAAACAAATCCAGTGAATTAGGAGCACGCTGTTAATTTCCCGGTACGTACGTGCAAAACTAACTAAACCATCCCATAAAACGATCATTCGCTCGTACCTTTTCTTTATTACCAATCTCCTTTAACGGCGCCCAAGCCCGTGAGCGTTGAGAGTGTCTTAACGCTCTCGTTTCCCATTACTATTCGTTGCTCTCCGCTTTCGTCCCTCTTTTTGGCAGTTCGGGAAGGTGCACGAATCGCGGGAGTTAAAACTTTGCGAATAGGATTCGAAGAAGAGGGAAAAAGTATTGGAAAAAGCTCCATAACCCACCAGCACTCCCTGCCAGCCTGGAGAGGTACGAAATTGAATCGCGTTTTATTCAATTATCGAACGTCTTGAAGGAATTAATTTACATTACGGGATACTTCTGCTACAGTTCCCATGCCGCATTTCTCCCCACCGCCTTCATTTCACTTCCTTCCACCTTTTGGTGGTCGTAACATTCCACTAATTCTGATTGCACTGAAAACTCCGAACTTGCAAACTTTCAACGGCCCGAAAGCACATCCAGCGAGAGACAAAAACTGTTTCTTCAATTACTTACGGCAAGACCTTACCAAAAACCTTCAACCACACCCGAAGTTTGCGCACAATTTCTTCTTTTCCGGCGAGAAACGAGATTTTTTTGTTTACTCTCTTGGTGCGAACCTCATGCATGTAATGTTTATCCAGCCCAGCCCGCAATTATTCGGCAAGCACTCCCACATCGGCTGTAAAAACGAGAATATCACTAAATTAGAACCGCACTGGCGAAACAAAGCAAAGAGTAACAAAAGTGGAAAGTATGAAACTCAAAGATCCAAGGTCGAACTACGCAGTCGTTGTGAGTTAACGTAAACCTCCATTGAATGTTATATTTTTTGGGGATGGAATAAGCTCCGACACTTGCCCGTGGAGCACCGCTTGCAATTACAGTTAACAATTCAGGCTACGCACGCAAAAAAGGATATAAATCCTTTCCCCGAGTGTCAAAGAAACAGATAACCAAGACTAAATTAGAACAACACGTAAAAAAAGTGTTCATGCACATTTTGTTTGTGAGCGCAAGTCGCATAACTCAAAACTTTCGACCGTTGATGAAAAAAGCGAAATAATCTGCAAACTAATTTCACAACTGTAATTACGCGCACAGCGCAAGTTCAGTGCAATGCTTTCTTGAGTCCCTCCCACACTTGTAACTTTTCAGTTTTGCTAGCACGATTAGCTATGCCATACTTCAAGTTATGCAACATACCCACACAAAGCGGGTGATCATTAAATATAAATTGGTCTTACTTTGGATGAGAGGATTTAATTGTCTAACATTTAGAAGTGCTTGGGCGATAATTCGGCGTGACACTCACAGTCCATTGAGAGTTGAAATTATTACCGACCTTCCCAGCTAACTAAAATGTATACATATTGTTACAGGAATATATCAATGCATATATCATTTTCATAAACTAAAAAAAAATTAATTCCTAGATTAATTACAATTATTTTTAGAAATATTAATTATTGAGTAGTTAATTTAATAATTTTGGATTTAATTTTAATTTAAATATTCTGAGTTGACCTGTCTTCTGGCAAAAGTAGTTGTAATGAACATCTCTGCCACTAGTAATTACCGATAATTTTGCCTTCGCTCCTTGTGAGTTTTGGCTCAACTTGAAGTCGTACCGCCACAGGGCTAACGCCTCCACACTGCTGGCAACATTCCGGAACAACATAAAGAAACTCTGATGTCGACATAACGCTAATGTAATTCACTTGAAATCGTCGAACGGTTTTCATCGGGAGAATATTCTGCTAACCCAGTAACTTATAATTTCAAGAATTGATTTGATATCTTTTCCCTGCTTAAATCTTTTCATTTCTTTACTAAAATTATAATTTTTCTGAACTTTTTGTTTTATTTTTGAAAATAAAGAATTCAACGTTTTCTTTCTTTTTAAATAAAACACTTATTGGTACGCGTCCGACCCTTATCAAAGAATGAACATTCACGCCCTCTACGAAACCAGCTCCAGTGTCTTTCGCCGAGCGAAAGCGTGGGTAAGAAATGCCTGGAATTGATGTCGTTTCAACAACATTACGGTCGCTTCACTGTTTCTATGCTGCTTCACTGTGTTCCCGAGCTTGTGCCGAGAATACAAATAAAGATTATATTTATTCTCTGCCTTTTAAAACGCATTAATCTCAGTCCATTATCGCAGTTCGCGCAACTGCTGCCGGTGCAAACTTAAGCGGCACTCTTCGTCACACCAATGCTAAGTCGAGTGTCGCAAGTTTATACGCATCAAGCCGCTGTCAACCTTGTTTTAATATTGCGTCTTCCGCGATTGTAGCGTTCCACAAAGTTTAACATAAAGTGCAACTTATTTTTTTGGTTTCTAAAAGAAATTAAAATGTTATTTTTGTGGAATTATAACTAAATCACAGTTTGTTGTTGAATGTTGAAACTGCGCTGCATTCTGATGCGGTCGAATGTATGGTTTTCGTTCTGGGGTCGTTTGCAGTCCAAACTAAAACATTAACTTTATTGATGTGCAAAGTTTTGAGACGCTCGCACAACTCGGTAATTTATTTTCGGTGCCGGCCGGGGTCGTGTTTCACTAGGGTAGTGTACAAATACCGAAATAAACGATAAAATACGTTCAGCAATGGTTGCAGAGCGCGCCTGCTTCTTCCACGATTCTTCGCTCGCCAAGCCAACATTGATTTAGATTTGTGTTGATTTGCCTTCCACTTCGTGCCACTCGCTTCGATTTTCACTTCTTCAAAGGGTCACCAAAAGGACAGAAAAAAGGTAGAATCCACCAAAAAACAAACACATTGAAAACGTCGCTGTTCGAAACGTTCGAATTGCTCGAAACATTGGAAACGACCCGAAAGTTGAAAACACGATCGCAATGTATCAATTAGTCGCACGTTTTCCTTTTCCGTACAGCGCTGTCCTCATCCCTACATTTTCATTTATCGTCAAACTTTCCGCATTAATCACGTGCGAAGTGCACTTTTTTTCTTCTCCTACTTTGTCTATCCGATTTATTCAGCTTCTTTCTTAATGATTGGCTGACACACCAGCAAGCTAATTAGTGTATCTACAACAAAAAATAAATAAAAATAAAAGAAATATATTATAATATATTAAATATATAACTTTGTTTAAAACTCATTAACTAAGAATGTATACAATGGTATTTTCTAAATGCAAATGAGGTTTTTGTACATTTTTTGTTTCATTGCTGTTGTTATCTCAAAAATTCGAGAAAAATTGAGAATTTGCTAATGACATTTAATTACCGCATGCCTACAAAATAGCATTCATCAAATTTCAAAGATAAAATTCCAAATTATTTATTTTTAGTATAAAAGATGCGAAAAAACTAAAATAAACCTATCTGAATCCGCAGTTCCGGTTGACAACAACTCTTTAACGACTCAGCAAAATGAAGTTACTTCTGGTATTTTTCTTGGGCGCACTTGTGGTAAGCAAACAAAAATAAATTGTTTTTTAGTTTCTTATATAATTACACAGTTTCAGTATGTCTCTGCGGAAATAATTGGCGATTGCTTTACGAGTAGAGTGCATGAACTATTAGTGGGCCACGATCCTTATGCGAGAAAACATAACCTGTATACGCGAATTCAAATGTGTGTCGATGTGATTAAGGACCAGCTGACTGCGGCTCAAATTACCAGAATTACCAAAAATATGAGCATTCTTCGTAGAGTTGATGAGGGAAATTGTTGGTATGGTCAAAAATGCAACCGTTGGCTCAATGATGAAAAGAACGTATTCAAGATAATTAAATCTTCCAAAAAAATACTAAAATCGGCAAAAGAATTGACTCCTGGTTGCCAGGGAATTGTAGCTGATATTGAAGATCTGGAATCAACTTGCGATATCATGTTAAAAGAACAACCAGCTGAATGATAAGTGTATAATAGAAAATACCATCATGTACCAATTTTGTTTAAATTAAATTAAGTATATCCCAATACAAAAAAATTTATTAAAAAAAAAAATTTCACACGCATGAAGTATTTGTTTTCTCGAATGTTGATTGTAGTTTTAGGAAGCTATAGCAGTTCCTAGAAAGAAAGAGGCAGCTAAGAAGACACAGCAAAGATCACCCCAGTTGTGCAAGGAGCGCAAGCAAGAGGAAGAAAATTTATGGCATTCGCATCGAACGTTAAAAGTGTTTTAAGAGGTGGCAAATGGAAGTTTGCGCCCGCTTACGTAATTTATGTTTGTGTACAATTTGCCATGGAGTGTTCACAAAAAAGTCAAAATTTTTACTGATTCAAAACAACACAAAATAAAAACTAAAATATTATTTGAGAAAATTAAACAAATTTTTTATATAGAATTTTAAAATTCACTTAATTTAAATATAATTTAAATAAATCATGTCTTTAAAATGATTTGTAACACTTGTGTTATAATATTTGGCTGAAGAAACGCGCTTCACGCAATCTTAACCAAAACGTTCACATAAACACCTAAATGCTTGTTGGGAAAGTGCAAAAAGCAAAACGACACAAATTTTTACATGAAAATTTTTCGACTTTTTGATATAGCACAGATTCTGTTGATTTTTGAAAATGTTTCCTTTATCCATATGGCGCATCCACATATGACGTAAATATAACTTCCAACTAAGGCGCGGATGGATGTGTTATTAGAGGATGATGGCCACCAATAAATAAAAAGCTCTTCCGTCTCATTCATGTTGTGCACTCACACACACACACTTTCCTCCACGCTATGAAAGTATGGCAATAAAAATCTAGAAATTGTCTCCGCGGCATAAGACAAATGGCGTTCATAAATAACGGACGCCTCTTTATTACCCGCATTAAAATAATTTCCCGAGTGTTGAGCGCAAGTAAAATGTCCGGACGAAACTAGAACAACGAAATAATATTTCTCAGGTGAAAACATTCCAAAAATACAAACATAAAGTCAAAATTTTAGATTATTTACGAGATTCTAAGATTAGATGTAGTTAGAAAGTGTCAATTTGCAGGTTGTATGTTGTATGCATGACAAAGTGCATTCTGTTCGGGTCTATCTCTGACCACATTTGTTCCGGCTAGTAAAAAACCGCTGTAATTTTTTACGATTTGCTACGTTCTGAGATTTAACCAGACGAATTCACCCCCAGCTAAGGAAGGATATAACTTTTGGGGGATTCTCGTGCGTTCTAAACGGACGATCCATCAAGTCGACGTGGTTGATTAGGCTAGGACCCAAGGTCTTGCGAATGATACGCTGTCCTTTATTAGCGACCACTATCACCTCTATTTTCATTCCTGCTTCCGTACAATGACCTCTGGAGAAATTCTTTTGAAAAAATTTTCGAAAATTTTGTGATATAACCAAAATTGCGATTCTGAAATGTTGTAAATCATTTATCATCTCGGCCGCAGGGAAAAACGTTTTGACGAATACATTGAAAACGATGAAAACCAACGGGAAATGTTACATCACCCGTACACTTTTAAATAAATGATATTTTCGATGGCATTGTCCTGCCGAGTTCATTGTTAATAGCGAATTTATTATATCGGGTCGCTAACGCTCGCACCGCAATCCGACTTCAATGCAAAGCGCGCGACGTTTATCTTGCACCAGTGCAAAACGACATAAAAGAACTCGCCCGCCATGAACGAGATGAAAAGCGACCGGAAAATACATTAAAACGTATTATCAACCCATCTATTTAGTTTCTACCATTGTATTTCTTCAATAAAAAATTTTTCAATTTCATATTTGAGGTTGTGTTGCTACAGCAACCGAAAATAAACATATATATATTGTTTTCGCTTGTCTTGCAACATGCAAAATGCAAAACTAAAACCTCTTCGCTGTGTTTTTGGTTTGTACAGATTTAGATCGACGTACATTACGAACGAATTGCGTTGTTGACGCCACCAGAGTGACATTCGTGCAGACGTGTGCATCGCGTGTCCGCCCCCGTTTCGCAAATTCAATAAAAACACAAAAGCTTTTCGCGCTCGCATTCGAACTATTTCTGGGAAAGCAAGCGTGGCTGCTTGACTATCAAACAATTTCGCTATCGGCGACAATCGCGTGCTGCTGTGTTACATTTAGGGTTTTAAACGATTTCGAAACACCGAAGCGACGTTGAGACATTTTCAGGAACATTGCAATTCACTTCAATTCAACCCAAAAATATTTCATTTTAAAATCCAAAATTTTGTTGACTTTACTTGTTTAATTTGAAACGCGTTGGTTTTAATTGAACGAGGATGTTTTAATGTTTAGAAAAACGGGTAGCTATTAAGGATTACGTTGCACTCGTAGTAATGCTTGGTTATCTTGGACTCTTTGCAAATTTCTTCGGGGCGTCGAAATTGCTGGAGCAATAACCACGTGGCGCCTTAACTGCCAACCGCGGTGCTTCAAAGCGCTTCCGTGCTTCCTGTAGAACACATTTATTATTTTTATAGAACCACAAACGCACTGAAAGAAAATCACTAAAGGTAAATAAAATTAAATTCGTACATTTTAAACATTTTGTAAATAATTACAAGGCTTTTATCTCTTTGTGTGCTGAACATGAATGTTTTGATGATTCTAGGGTAAAAGTAATGAAAACCACTGGTTAACCTTCCCACACATTTTCACATCATTCCGACACCTTCATGGGAGTTTTCTGCAACAACACATTTGTTCACTTACGTTCTTCGGGTACGATTGGTCAAATTTTTGTTCTTACCCTTGAAGCTCTTCCTTTGTGAGTTTCCGCTTTGTGTGGTGAAACTGGTGGGTCCTTCATTTGGCCTGGGATCCCTTCGTTTTCTTCTAATTCTTGTAACAGTTGTAATGAGGGTGGGGTTAATCGTTCCGCATATGCAACTTAATTTTATTGCTCAGTCGTAAAATTTCGGGGTAAGGGTAAACTACTACAGGCGTATTACGTCCTTATTGGTCGTTAAAATGGCCTTAAAACTAGATTGCTATAGGTAAGAGAAATTTGTTTATAAAAATCTACAGTTGCAATAATTGTAAGAGAATATTTTAACGGTATTCGATATTCAATATTGGTTAGTATCGAGAATCTGAAAACTAAGTAAGAAAGAACCGGATGCTCGAGCATAATGTAACCGACGTGACTGTGGGTTAGTGAAGTGGCAGCGCCGCCGAAAAGGAAAGGCTTTTAAGCCGTAACTGTTCATCATGAACCTCGCCGTCGTCGATCCATTGTGCCATTTCGTTGCGCCTCCGTGGGGACGGCGCCGATGCCGGCCACGGGACGAAGGAGACGAGGACGTGCGCCTTTGTCATTGATCGGCTGTAACCTCAACGCATTGCATTTTTTCTTATATTTTCCATTAGAACAAAAAACGACGATTCTTACATTGTTAAAGTTAAAATTAAATAAAATTAAAAAATTCTGTAATTAAACTTGTTAATATTTTATTTTGTAAATTGTAAATAAATATTTATTTCTATGCAGGAAGAAGAAAAAAACGAAATAAGAGTAAAGAAGAATGTAAAAAACTAGAATTGAAGCGATCTTGAACACGGTACATTAATGCATAGCAAGGATTTGTTCTACGTTTTTAAACTTTTCCTCCGCCCGTTCCATTTTTTTTGTCGTTCTTATCTTTTGTCCTTGCTTTTGTCCGACGCACCGGGCGCTTTTTGTAAGCTTGTTCCTTTTATCGCAAACTTCTTTTCGAATCCCTTCCGGGATTCACTTTAAAATTATATTTTCTTATGGTTTACAACGCACCACAACAAAGAAATTCAATTAAAACATCTACTACTGAATAATAAATAAAATTAGTTAATATATTTATTTATTTATGTTATTAATATAATGTAGGCCAGCAAACAAGAAGCAGCAAACTTGCAATTGCCGGAAACGCTTTAGGGTAACGTGATTGACGTAATTAATTAGTAAAGTATGTCGGGCATTCGTTAAGACGCCGGCAGCGCGCACGAACGTACGTTCCAGGTTGAAATAAGCCGCACGTCCCTGGAATGGCACCCAGCAGGCCCTCCAGGTGTGCGCCCGACCGGGCGTTGCTTAATTGTTCGGGAAACTTTCGGGGCCAAAGCTGCCAGCAAGAAACACTCACGAAATCATGCCAACTTGAGTTCACTAACGCTCACACACAACAATTAATTATTATCAAAAATGAATATAAATGTATCAGAAAACTACTGTTTGTATCTTTTTGTTGCGAGGGCGAGATTGGAAGAGTTGAATGGTCTGTAAAAGTTGTAGGTGGAGATGAAGCACCTCTGAGCAGACACTGACAGATCTATTGATAAGATTGATCGCACCTTCCACCGCAACCAGATATGCTCCTGAGAGTCAGATAGTCTGCTGCCATTCATTCTGTTTGGGGGTGCTTCTTCTACGTGTTGTTTTACGTGGGGAGAGTAATTCTCGTCTAGCCGGGCGATAACCGAGGCCGCAATTTAATGGACGCATGAAAAATTACTTGCCACGCGGACGACTTCGAATAATAAATAAAGCAATACCAAGAACACATACAGGGTGTTGTACTAAACAGTAAATATATGTAGATGTTGCAGATTTTTGTTGAAAACAAGAAATTTGAAGGTTTTTCAGGGTATATCTTGTCATTCAGGATCAACAATCGCCCATCAGCCTTCAATTCAAGCGTGGGGTGACGTTGAGACTGACGGCAAACACTTCGGTGCGTGTGAGGCAAACAGATTCGCAGACCGGCGAGAACAAACAGCGTTCGACGCCGTTGACGGACGCAATTTTTCATAAAACCCAACTCCATGCTTCTGTTGTCGGATAATCTCTCATTGACCAAAAACCACCAAACGAGCAATTTACTTCCGATACCCAAAATCAAATGAAACCGGGTCGAAAATGAAAATGATTTAGTAATACAATCAAACTTCGATTACGACGACCCTCCCTATTCATTGTTGGCCAATTCGACAAA